CGCCGTAGTAGAGCAAAATCCGTTCAACTTTCCTGAAATGATACAGCCTTCCTAGTCACGGAAATACTATACTGGATTATGACTTATGCGAGGGGGGATGTATTTCTCAGCAATTACTGAGCTTTCCAAATCGCACCTGTCGTTGCCATGGAGGGACGGTGACAGAATTTATTTTTTACATGTTATTGAGCTTTCCAGCTGACGGGGCCATCATTTATTTTCTAAAGTGAAAGAAGGTTATGAGCTCTTCGCCCCTCTAGATTCAGATCCGGCATTGTGGTTGGCTCTGTCGGTCGCCCTGGTTGGTTGGTTGCGTCAGCGCTGCCCTGTGCAGGCTCTGATTTCATCGAAGTCTTGTGGCTGTTGGTGCCGTTCCGTAGTTTATAATAACTATGCTGCTGCGTACCTCTCTATGCACTAGTAGCACCGATCCTTGATTTCCGCTGGCCAGTATGTATAGATACGCATCCCCTTAATCGTTGGAGCACTGATTCCTGCCAATAATATACATTGCTTGACTAGTACTCTAGTTTAGTTGCTTTGTGTAATTTTTGCCAGTATTATTAGTCCACTTTTTTCTATGAGAAGAAAGGGTTTATGCGCTGTAGATCCGTTTGTGAACTGGCTTTCACCTTTCTATGATAATTTAACATCTTTTGTACTGCAATGGACTAACTCTCTGCACCTTAACCATCCTCACAATGGCATGTGTTTGAACCTCAACTCATATTTTATTTTCCTTGTAGGAGCTCATCCGAATAATAGTTGACCAAAGCAGGGTATAATGAAGAGAGTGTCATCGCATGTCTCCATTGCCTCAGAGGCAGAGATTAATCTTGATCTCTCACGGTTACTAATTGACAAGCCAAGGTTCACACTGGAGCGTAAGAGGTCATTTGATGAACAGTCATGGAGTGACCTCTCACATCGGCATAATGACGGCTTTGATAGTGTGGCGAATTCGCCTGCATTCCGCACCGGTTTCGAGTCACCATTCTCAACGGGCGCACACTTCGGTGAGCCAAGTGGACCACACCCCCTTGTGAATGAGGCATGGGAGGCACTCAGGAAATCTGTAGTGCATTTTCGTGGCCAACCTGTGGGTACCGTTGCTGCGGTAGATCATGCATCTGAGGAGGTGCTCAATTATGATCAGGTAAAATCCATCGCTCTCATATCTGAAAACAGGTTATCCTTTATTTTGTGGGTTCTGATATTTAGGCATATCTAAATTAGTAGTAAAATTTGTCCAGTTGCCTAGTACTCTCTCTGTTCCAAAATAATTTTAGTTCTAGGTTTGTCTAAGTCAAACTTATTTAAGTCTGACCAACTATATGGGAACATATATTAACATCTGGAACACCAAATTACTCTGATGATATTCTTTATAAAATATATTTTTGAACTATGTATATGTGGTGTTGTAGACCCTCGCATGTTTTTCTAGAGTTGGTCAAACTTAACCAAGTTTAAAAATGGAGGGAGTAACAATGAGACACTACATTTATTATATGGCCTGTTGAGGATACTCTCAATTATAAACTGATGATATACAAAGTGTTCACTTGTGTCCTGTATTATCTGAAAACAATTGACGCAATTTCCCATCGTAATTTAATTTTCCTATCCACTATGGCTTCGGGTACTCTGCTTGCCTCACATTAATCGTTCTTGTGCAGTTTTTATAAAATGATTAATATCTGATGTTGTACTGTTGTTAATTTTATCCTTACATTGGCAGGTTTTTGTGCGGGATTTTGTTCCTAGTGCATTGGCTTTCCTAATGAACAACGAGCCTGAAATAGTGAAGAACTTCCTCTTGAGAACTCTCCACTTGCAAAGCTCAGAAAAAATGGTAGACCGCTTCAAGCTTGGAGCAGGAGCAATGCCTGCAAGTTTCAAGGTGGACCGGAATGTAAACAGGAACACTGAAACATTAGTTGCAGATTTTGGTGAGAGCGCAATTGGCAGGGTGGCACCAGTGGACTCTGGATTTTGGTGGATTATTCTCCTCCGGGCATATACAAAGTATACTGGAGATGCTAGTTTGTCAGAATCACCTGATTGTCAGAAGTGCATGCGGCTTATACTGAGTCTTTGCTTATCTGAGGGATTCGATACTTTCCCAACTCTGCTCTGCACTGATGGTTGCTCAATGATTGACCGTCGAATGGTACATGCATTTCACCTTTATTTGCTTTAAATTCAGAACTATATACTTAAAAGGGCACAATTTAATTGAGGTGGCAACAGGAACAGGACTGGTTCTGTGTTTTCATGTACAGCTAAAAAGAAATATTTTTTCTTAACAGTAAACTTTAATAAAAGGGACACCTACAGATAGCAACGCACTTTGACTTGTTGGTATTGCATATTATTAATTTGTTACAGATTTTAAATATTGGGTTTTTTTATTATTTTGGTATGTGACCATTAATTTACCAAGACTATCCAAGAGGGACACATATAAAGATAATATACTATGTGTTAATTTATTTATGTGTGGTAGGGCATGGAAGATACATCTTCCTTTAAGTAGGAAGTATGATTAGTTTTAGCAGAAGAAAAGATAACACTTGAGAAAATGATCTGTATTCTGAAATACAATCCTAAAGTCTTTCGTGCTGCTTGTTTGACTTTTGAGTTAAAGTAATGCTTGAGGCAATCTCTATTCTGAAATGTAATCCTAAAGTTTCCCTGTTCTTTGTTCGACTCTCGAGTTACAATTTCAGTTGGAGCTGAATATCCTTGTTACATGATTGTAATGCTTTAAATTTAATAAATATTTTCAGGGTATATATGGTTATCCTATTGAGATCCAAGCTCTCTTCTACATGGCATTAAGATGTGCCCTCCAATTGCTTAAGCCGGATGGTGAAGGGAAGGACTTCATCGAGAAGATAGGGCAACGACTGCATGCATTAACCTTCCACATGAGAAATTACTTCTGGCTTGATTTTCCACAGCTAAATAACATATATAGATACAAAACAGAAGAGTACTCCCACACCGCTGTGAACAAATTCAATGTCATTCCGGATTCAATCCCTGAATGGGTGTTTGATTTCATGCCATGTAAGGGGGGCTACTTCCTTGGCAACGTCAGCCCTGCTATGATGGACTTCAGGTGGTTTGCTCTTGGAAATTGTATTGCCATTATATCATCTCTAGCTACTCCGGAGCAGTCATCGGCAATAATGGATCTGATCGACGAGAGGTGGGATGAGCTAGTGGGTGAGGTGCCTCTGAAGATAGTATATCCTGCACTTGAGAACCATGAATGGAGAATAATTACTGGCTGCGACCCCAAGAATACCCGGTGGAGTTATCATAATGGAGGATCATGGCCAGGTAATTTACTCTATGCTAGTGTCTAGGATTATTTTAGTGAGCATTCATTGCTGCCAAATCTTCTTTTGCAAAACAGTTATTATCTGAAGTAAAACTATTTTTTATTATAAACCAGTAATAAATGGTTAGAATAAACTTCATTCGGAAGTTTACCATGTCCTGTTTGTAACATCTTTTTAGCTGTAATGTTACAGCTACAAACGGTAGCATAATATTGTTCGAAAAAAAATGATTTTGAATCTCTGGGGACCCTTGATTTGATCTGCTACTTCTGATTGCTTGGGGAAAGTTCTGATCTCTTTGGATGCCTGGAAATCCTATGTATTCTAACATTCTCACATGTTTCATCTGCAGTTCTTCTATGGCTGCTGACAGCAGCCTGCATCAAGACTGGGCGGCCACAAATGGCGAAGCGTGCCATCGAGCTCTCCGAGGCAAGGCTCCTCAAGGACGGCTGGCCCGAGTACTACGACGGCAAGCTGGGGAAGTTCGTCGGCAAGCAGGCCAGGAAGTTTCAGACATGGTCCATCGCTGGCTACCTAGTCGCGAGGATGATGCTTGAGGACCCATCAACGCTCATGATGATCTCCATGGAGGAGGACCGGCCTGTGAAGCCGACAATGAGGCGGTCGGCGTCATGGAATGCTTGAAGAAAGGCTGGGTTTCTTGAGAAAAAGAATTTACTTGCCAAGGGTTCAAGAAAAAGGAGTCCACAGTTGGTTGTAATTGTACTCTGTCAGTTTGGACAGAAGTGTATACCGTAGATGCACCTAGAGGTCGCACTACCTTTTCCTTTTATCAAAACTCAGTTTCGGAATAATATGTTTATTTTGTACCAGTGACACCATGGATAATTTTTTTTCTTTTGTGAAATGACACCTTGGATAGTTTATAAGCTTTAGCACACAATCATGACGAAAAACTCGTTTTAACCAAGTATCCGACACAAAATCATTTGAACAAGGTTTCTAAATCAATCAAGATGAGACCTCGACGTAATTTTTATTATGTTTGATTTGAGACGAGACCTTGATGATAATTTTAATAGATACATGAACCTTTTTTGCAAGAAAAGATCAAACGAGATTAATGATGCAAATATTCCAGCTTTGACTGTTGCAATAAAACAAGGGCACGCTTTACTTTTTTTTTTAAGTGTAATTCCTTGAAGTGTTCCCTTGACCGCAAGTCGAAAACACGCACGTGTTCTGGTCTTCTGGGTCACCGCGTTAAGGCGGTACGGTTAGATGTCTGATATATTTCTGAAGAAAGTTTGTTTTGGTTTACTTGATTGATTGATTGATTGAAGGGACATCAAATTGCAGACCACATGCTGAAAACATGCATGCACGCAATCTGGACTGAGGTATTAAGGCTGCATCATCATAAACAACAAGTACATTTCGTCAAGTCGGTTAATGTGAAGGAGCACTTCGTAAGTCGGCTTGTTTTTTTTATATATATATAACTTATAAGTCGGCTTGCTCAACCATAAAAGGCAGAGTAGTTTTGAACCAGAGTACAAATCAGAGGTAGAGTCCGGGCCCAATTCAGCCTAAGAGTCCAGGTGTAATTATAATGGAACCTTGTGATGAGCTCACGAAAAGAAAAAGGGGGCAAATTGCGATCGGAAAAAAGCCAAGGCAGCCATGGAGGCCCAACCCAACAAAACCTTGGATAATCTCAGGGCCGTCGTGCCCCGCCCTCGCTGGGTGCTGCTCGATCGGCTCGGCCACCGCGAGGACCAGGCCGACGCCGACGCGGCCACCGTGGCGTCGTCCCGCACCTCCACCGGCACGGTCATCAGTGTGTCGTTCCGGTTCGACGCGCCGCCGGCGACCTCCCGCCTCTACCTCCGTTGGCCGTTTGGACCGAGCAAGGAGGACTCATCTTTCGCGTACCCCCGCGTCGTCGCTGCGCACGAGGACTCCGTTCTCCTCCAGCTCACCGTTTCCCCCCGCAGCATCGATTACTTCCTCTACAAGGCGAGGGGCGCCCGGCCGCCGTCTCTGTCGCTGCTTCCCCGGTCCGCGCTCACCAGGAAGGCCATCGGCATCCTGCGCCGCCGCGGCCAGGGCACGTTCGCCGTGGCCGAGCTCCGCACGGCTGGCGGCGACGGCACGCCGGTGGCGTTCGACCTCTGCGTGCTGCTCTCGCCGGGCCCGGGGCCGTCGGAGACCGACAAGTGGGAGTTGAAGCGCGTGAATGTCCGCGACGGCAAGGGGAAGGACCTGACGCTGCAGTGCTGGGAGACCGACGCCGTCGTACCCGTCGGCGGCCGGTTCCTGTGCTGGGTCGACTACTACCGTGGTATGCTGGTCGGCCGCGTGTTCGCCGACGGCGGCTCCGTGCTCACGTACGTGCCGCTGCCCGTCGACACCCCTTGGGCGAAGCCCGACCACGGCCAGGAGTGCCCCGAGGCGTCCCGGAGCGTCTCCGTCACCGCCGGCGACACGGTGAAGTTCGTCAGCGTCGACCGCGGCCTGCTCTTCGTCTTCACCGTCACCATCTGGACGCTGGGCAAGGCGCGGGACGGCAGCATGGAGTGGGAGAAGGACGGCGAGTTCCGTGCCGCCGAGCTCTGGGCCTTCTCCAGCTACGAGCACCTGCCGCGTGTCCCGCCGGAGTACCCCGTCGTGAGCATGGTCGACCCCGACGCCCTCTGCTTCATGGTGAGCGAGGGACGCCACGCTGGTGTCGAAGCCGGGGGAGACGACACGGTGTGGCTGGTCGAGGTCGACACGAGGCGCAGAGCGGTGCGGTCAGTGTCCCGCTACTCCAAAGAAGAGACGAGGAACATGTCAGGGCGTGCCTTCCACGACGAGGAGGAGGTGGACGACACCGATGGCTTGGCCTCCCTGAACACGTTTCATGGCCATGCCTTCCTTCCCAGCGAGGTCACCACGTACGTACACGAGCAGTAGTCAGACTTGCTCGTCCTTCATCCAGATCCAGGCTAGTAGCCATCAGTGTCAAGACAGACTCAAGTTTCAGGGACTGTCTAAGGCTGAGCCAACTGGAACTTGCGTTTCATTTTACCTTTTTTTGGTCGAACAACGCTCTTTATTTATTTATTCAGTAATGTTTATAAATGAATAGAAGGAGGATTTTGGGAGAAGGCTAAGCCAACTGAAACTTGCGTTTTATTTTAACTTTTTTTTAAGCCGAACAACGCTCTTTATTTAGACGTCCGGAGCGACCGTTCTGTTTACCGTTCGATAGTCCAGCACGAATCGCGACGAATTCCGTGCTGGCAGTCGTTCGTGCTGGCCGGAATGGTCGAACCGTGGTCACCGCAGCGCCTCTTCTGACCAGCGACCACCAAGACCGTGCCGAGCCGCTGCTACTTCCGAGTTCCGAGCTCCTGGACAGCGCCGGCTTTTGCCGCACCGCCGAGCTCCCTGACGTCAACGAGCTGGCCACCCGGAGGCCATTCCTAGCCGGTGCGGCGACCACCTCAGCCGGTCAGCCCTAATGAGCAGCTGACCGGAATCCTCCTCCTTGCACACTAGATGTTCGACGAGAAGGTAAAAGAAATCGTTTTTGAATTTCATGTAGAAGTAGATTACATTGTATTGTGTTGCATATGAATTCGTTTCAATCCTCTCAAAGCATCTCATACAGATGTAAAAATAACCCATATCATTCTAAAAAAACGAATATACATCACTCGGGCTAAAAAAGGTTCCTGCAACAAATGACGTAGATGCAAACTTTTTCTTAAATTTTACATCACCAAGTGATGCAAATATACATCACTTGGCTGCCACATATGTAAAATGCAGCCGCGCCGCACAAAACTCAACTGCCACTGTGATGTGGACATAGCTACTATAAGTACATATACTTCATATGATACAAGAAACATCACCGACACAGTTGCGTCTGGACCTATGACTAGAGCACATATAAGACAAATAAATGGCCAGGTACTTTTGTTCCTTAGTAAATATAATTCAGTTAACAAGAATACGATATTGCCTTCATGCTGTAATTTTCTACTCAGGAACAAAGAATTTGAAGAATGTACCAGCAAGAATTATGCACAGACAAAAGACGTAGCAGCTAGTAGAAGCAGCAGTACAAAGGAATATTTGCTTCACCATGAGTCAACCACGGGGAGTAGCATGCATGCTAATTACAATTAAAAGAAGTGGACCGTAGGCCCATGTGTGGCAGCCGTACAACAACACAGGTGCTACTTGGAGTTTTCAATTCAAGATGGGCCTCCGCACGCGTCACGTTGTCGAGGCTTTCCACGATACATTAAAGGCGGTGACAACAACGGTTAATAAATAGGTAATCTAGGTTAGGGTTTAGACTCGGGTTTTGTTTAGAGAAGTTTAGTTATTGCTATTTTTTTGAGAGAGAGAATTATTGCTATTTTTATTTGTCTTCGCTCGTAGCGGCTAGTGCGACCGTAAGACATCTATCGGAATCCTAACTTGTGAGATTTATTCATCTAGCATATTCGCAATTTCAGATTGCTTGGCTATTATTTTTTTGCATGTTCTTCAATTTGCTTGCAGGAAAAATCCTTCGTGGAAAGGTCGATCGCGCCGTTGGCTCGGTCGATAACACCGTGGAGTTGGTTCAGCGATTGTCGTGGATATTAGTCGTGTACGGTTCTCCCTGTACGGTTAGTAGCCGGATCATGAGGGTCAAGTCCCACCCAAAATCGTAGTTATCTCTCTCTCATCGAAAGATCGGGCCCCAGTTCACTTTCATTCCACCCTCCCACTGTGCGACTGCCCTGCCTCCCGCCCGCCCACCAGACTCCGCCGCCGCCCGATCCGGCCTCCCCACCCCCGCCGCTGCCGAATCCGCCGCTTTCCCGCTGCCCCGCTTCTCGTAATCGCCCGAATTGAAGCCGCTTGGCCCCCGTCGCCCGATTTGAAGCATCTCTGTCCCCGCCGGCGCCCGAACAGCCTGCGCCGCCATCTTTCGACCATCTCCCTGCGACTCCACTGATGAGTGTACAGACCTGGGATAGGGTCATAGGCCTGACCTATACGTCCTATCCAAGGTCACTACCCTAGAAGATAAGAAGCCCAAGGAGCAACGAAGGATTCCCAGTCAAAGGTGTCGAGTGCAATCCACTCGACTAATCGTATCACTCGGATATCCCTCTTACTTGTGGTCACTCGACCATACAAGGAATCACTCGACCTACCGAAGATCAGGAGCCACTCAACATTGCAACGGTCGGACGTTCACTCCGTAGTCTTTAAGGTCATTAATATCACTTAAGATTGGCGTTATCAGTAATGCCCCTACATTATGTACATTAAGCCCCTTGTAATGGAGGATGGCTGGGGACCTGGCGCACTCTATATAAGCCACCCCCTCCTCTGGGACAAGGGTGCGCATCCTTTGTAAACATCACACACACATATAATCCAATCGACCGCCTCCGGGAACCGAGAGGTAGGGCTATTACTTCCTCCGAGAAGGGACTGAACTCATAAATCTCGTGTGTACACCTTCACCATAGCTGAGATCTTGCCTCTCCATACCTACCCCCTTTCCACTGTCAGTCTTAGAACCACGATAGTTGGCCCCCACCTTGGGGCAGGTGTCTTAGCAACTTGTTGGTGAAGTTGCAATTTTTCTGATCCCCATCATTGTGGTTTTCGGTGGAGGTTCGGCTAAGGGGCGCGAGATCCATCTCGGCGCACTCGTTTTTGTTGCCGACAACTCTGCTTGGCTTCAAGAAGCTCCCCTTGATGTCGAGGCGCTCCCCGTCCGAGGGGCGCGCACTTCCGCGCGTGCATTCACGACGTCCTTCTTCGGCAGCCGTCGACTCAGTATCAGTCGGCTCCAATGATGTCGTCTCCCTCCGCTGTTCGCCGCCGCAAGCGATCCGGTCGGTCGTGGCTCCAGCGGTGGGTAAAACACGCGGTGGCTCGACATTCGGCCACCCATCAAGTCGCGGCAATCGAGCCCGATGAAACTCTCTACGGCTTGTTCGATCTGTCGACTGGCTCCATCGAGACCGCATTCGAGTGCGATAGCAGCGATCCTGCGGCTGAAGTCTTGATGGTCGACGGACCACATAGTTCACCTGGTTTCCGTCGTGAAGACGACGAGGACGGGGACGGCGATCCGTCGCGCGTCCACGAGGAGTACCGTCCCGAACCCCTCTCGTCACAACAGAGAGAAGAACTTTGTCGCCGCAACATGGATGCACTCCACACACCCGTCGTTGGAGAAACTCCCGAGGCTCGAGCCTTGGAAGCGGTACGTTTGGCTAATTTGGCTGAGCACACTCGACTGGAAAACCTCCAGCGCTCTCTTGAGGAGCGTTCTCGGGAACGGATTCACAAGTCCAGTCGACTACAGCTTTTCCCACCTCCACCTAAGGTATACCGCACTCCGATTCAAAATCTCACAGCTGCAGCCGGAATAGCAGAGTCAATTCAACCTTCCCAGTCAGAGGCTGGCCGAGGTTTGATGCAGATCCGGGCCTTGCTCTACGCAGCAGGAGAGCTGAACACAGCGGTGTCTCAGTCGAGGGATAGGATTCATAGCAGATCTGTGGTGGCAGATACTGTCCAGTCGGCCCACAGTCCAAGATCACCCTTGCGGCGTGAGGGCCGTGGGCAGTACGATCACCGACTCGACAGCGACAACCGTCGTCGAGTGCCCACGCCTCCCTCGAGGAGTACATCATATGCGCCTCGGTAGTACGATGACAGACGCCTTCACAGCGGCGAACGTAGAGCAGCAGTCGACCCAAGAGAGCCAGGCTTTGATGCAAGATCTATTCTCGTTCAGGGGTTAGTCGACCGGAACAGAGCGCAGAGAGAAGACCTTGGCAGAGATCGCCCGACTGGCAACAAGGTTCATGTTTCAGGCTCAGAGTGTTTTAGCAGAGCCATCAGGGCCGTAGTGATTCCCCCCAACTTCAGGTTGGCGACTGGAGTCAGCAAGTTCACTGGGGATTCCAAGCCTGAAACTTGGCTTGAAGACTACCGAGTGGCTGTGCAGATTGGTGGTGGGAATGATGAAGTGGCAATGAAGCATCTCCCTCTGATGTTGGAAGGATCAGCCAAAGCATGGTTGACTCAATTGGCCCCGAACAGTATATACAGTTGGGAAGAACTTGCTCGAGTGTTCGTCAGAACTTTCGAGGGCACTTGCAAGCGGCCAGCAGGGTTGACAGAATTGCAGCATTGCGTGCAAAAACCGAGTGAGACTCTGAGGGATTTCATCCAGAGGTGGACCACTTTGCATCACACAGTGGAGAATGTATCTGAACATCAAGCAGTGTGTGCCTTCAAGGAAGGCGTTAAGTACCGAGAACTGGTCCTGAAGTTCGGCCGGACTGGGGATATGACTCTGACTCGGATGATGGAGGTAGCCACCAGGTACGCGAACGGAGAAGAAGAGGATCGACTCCATAGCGGAAACGGCACTAGTCGGCTAGGACACCATCGGAAGCAATCGGAAACAAAAAAAGGCCGAGCCCGCGGCACCCGGCGAAATTGCGGCAGTAGCTCAAGGAAAGTTTAAAGGAAAACCTAAGGGACCCTGGAACCCTAAGAAGGTGAAGGACCAAGCAGGAAATGATGTGTTGGATTTGCCGTGCCACATTCACACGAAGAAGGATGAAGAGGGTAATCTGATTTATCCTAAACACACCACTCGACAATGTTGACTCCTGATTCAGCAGTTCCGAGAGAATCAACCCAATGAAAAGGGAAAAGAGTCGGACAGAGACGAGGATGAAGAGGAAGATGATGGTTATCCCAAAGTCAATTCCACCCTGATGATTTTTGCTGATGTTGAGAGCAAGAGTCAATTGAAAGTTATCAACAAAGAAGTGAATATGGTCGCCCCGGCAACGTCGACTACATACCTGAAGTGGTCCCAAACAGCCATCACGTTCGATCAGTCCGATCACCCTGTGCGTATAGCCACC